CAATGTGTACACGGTGTATAATACAGAAAAATAAAGGGGAAGAATGAGAAAAAATGAAAGACACAGAAAGACAGAAAAAATTAAAATGAAACAGAAAGCAAGCGAGAAATTAAAAACAAATGCACGATACAAAATAAATAAAATCAAGTGAGGTTAACTGAGGGAGAAGTAATGAATGGAAAAAAATTTAAGAGGCTTGGAAGGAGATTAAAAATTTACGAATTCACAGCTCGCAACTTGCACTTACCACGCTTCGTTTATTTTCGCCAACGGAACGAAATACAATTATTAGGACGTTTATGCAAAAATGTCGCACTAGAAATGACGCATTGTTTTATTTCGCGTTTGTATGTCGCATTGTTTCATTTGTATGTCGCATTGTTTCATTTGTATGTCGCATTGTTTCATTTGTATGTCACATTGTTTAATTTTTCATTTGTATGTCGCATTGTTTCATTTGTATGTCACATTGTTTAATTTTTCATTTGTATGTCGCATTGTTTCATTTGTATGTCACATTGTTTAATTTTTCATTTGTATGTCACATTGTTTAATTTTTCATTTGTATGTCGCATTGTTTCATTTGTATGTTACATTGCTTCATTTTTCGTTTGTATGTCACATTGTTTGGTAGTGCAGATGCGCTGATACATTAATGCATGGAATGGACTGGCGGCTTTGTTTGCATGTGAAGAGGAAACAATTCAGGTTTTGTTGAATTGTATATAATATCGTATATTGTGTGTTATGTTGTATCAGTATTTTGTATCGGATTGTTATGTTGCACTGTTTCAGTTTCACTAACAGAGATTCATTTGCATGGCATGGTTCTCTTTCAACCTGCACACTTCCTTTAGGTTAGAGGTTGTGTTTGGCTTCAAGCTGTTAATTTATAGGCCATAAAAATTGATAATTAAACTTTGAAAATTATTGTGTAAGTCAAAATTTGTGTTTGAGATTGTATCAAATACTCAAAAGTTTCAAATTCATTTTTAACGTGAAACCAAACTTCAGTCTGAAGCATGTTAGACCATCATGATTTTAAATATAATTGAATGATAATAAAAATAATCCCATCCCTAAACTAATTCTTGTCAATTCTTTAGTTTCTTTATAAGTTAAAAAGACCCGCGTTGAGTTTTGATGCGTTCACTTTTATTTTATCAAAAAGGGCAACTGCTACTTTGTTATAACTATTTCATGGAGTTGTAAATTTAAAAATTTTTGTGTTTTCTGCAAACTAAAAATACCCATAAAGATAATTATTAAAACAAAAACAAAAAAAAAAGTGTTAGCTAATTCATTTTACAGCAACTAACTGCCAACTATATTACCATAGGTTAAAAAGGCGTGAAGGTTTAATAATGCATAAGTAGTCACCCGCTAATGTGTAAGTGATAAGGTCGATAAAAAATGCAAGACCATGTCCAGTCCATGTTGTTTATTTGATGTTTTTGAAGTGGTCATTGCCAAACTTTTTACCCGTGTGTTTGTGTGTGTGTGTTAATGTGTGCGTGTATTGTGTTGTCTACGGGTCTGCAGTTTTATGTAGTTTGAAGAACTGTTTCAAAATTACACAATCAAAATAATAAAATAAACATGAACTTGGTTGTAAATCTTGATGAAATTGTGTTGTGAGGGCCATCAATGAATGAATGAATGAATGAATGAATGAATGAATGAATGAATGAATGAATGAATGAATGAATGAATGAATGAATGAATGAATGAATGAATGCATGAATGAATGAATGAATGAATGAATGAATGATTGAATGAATGAAGACTGTTGGCGACTTTGTGATGCAGTGTCGTTCGCCGAGTCGCTGCTGACAATGCACTCACAATGATATCATATGCAAATATCGTTACCGCAGTTTTTTTCTTTTTAAAATAACAACATCGATATCGTTACAATTATTTTTGAAAACAAGACAAGGAGAAAAATTTTCTTCTTCTAAAACAGCAACAACAGCAGCAGCAGCGACAACAACAACATCAACAACAAAACAACTACATCTATAGCTACAACATCAACAACAACATCAACAACAATAACAACAATATCTATGACAACAACAACAACAACAACACCAAAAACAACAATTTACCAAACACTCTTGAATCTTGAATAACATTTATAAAGACGTCAAATAACAATTTATTGATTTTTGCCTTAATATTTCACAGACAATTTTCAGCTATTAAAAAAATATTTTACATCAAGTTCTTTCCCATTAATTTTTCTTTAGAAATTCATTCTTTATTTCAAAGTTATTAGATATTCATTTTTTCTCGATTTTTAAGTTTATCACTGGCTCATTTTAGAATTGTATTTATTGGTTAAATAAATTTCTTCTACTTTCTCGTACTTCATCCTTTCTGGACATTGGCGACCATCGACTCCTCCAAAACCCAATCTTTAACACTTGGTAGCAGGTGAAATGTGGTGATATTAATAAATATGTTTATTTACTGTAAATCGTACATATTTTTAATTTTTTTATTAAACTTTATAATATTGTTGAATATATCCAGACATTTACCTTTAATTTTATGAAATTCAGTTTTTAGTTTTTTAGAATTCTTATTACAAATTTTATATTGCAAAATTTTCCTCTGTTATATTTTCACGTTTGGACACCCTTCGCATTTTTACAGAGTTTGATTTTTAAGAAATAAAATTGAAAATTCCATCAAATTATTATTTAAATTATAAATCATCGTCAACCCCATGAACAAGATTGATGTACCCGACTAGAGTGATGTGAACGTTTTTAAAGTAGATAATTGAAAAGTAGAAAACTTGGTTTAATGGTTGTACTGAGAATTACTTATTGTTATAAGTTTATAGTAATCTGTATTAATAGCCTTACAGTTGCTCACTGGCCCATCGCATTTTTAATATTTTTGATTTTTATTGTGGAGGACCTTTTTGTTCTGGAGACGTCGAAGTCTGCCTACACACCTACACAAACACACCACTCCTAAGTTTGAACCTGAATTGCCAAACACTGTACTTCAATATGTGGTAAAAAAATAAAATGGGTTATGTTCATGCACTTTTAATTTAATGAAACATTTAAACTATCTTTTAACAATTATACGTCGTAATAATACAAAACTTTTTAGCAAAAAAAAACAAACCTAGTTGCGATGAATTTGTTTTAAAATATTATGTTGTTTATGCTGGTTATGTTTATATAAATAAAACATTGTTGTTGATGTTGTTGCCGTAAATAACGAACTGCAGTTCAGCTCATAAGCTGGCCGATACGTGATGCATGACGTTCTATCTATAAAATATTTTAACGTGGCAAACGTAAATTAAAATGCAATGACGTATTTTTTTAAAATTGTGCATTTGTTCAATTAACTTTGAAATCATTTTTTTTTAAATTTTACAAATATTCTCGCCTTTGAATGTTTCTATGGTTGGTGAGATACGTTTTTCGCAGAGAATGCATGCGCATCAACACATACAAAATACTCGTGAATGCACATACAAACATGCACTACATCAACGACAAACAAATGATACATGCCTGCATGCCTGCCTGCATGCATTTACATACTTACCAACACTGTACATAAATTGTACGTACATACATACATAAACATGCATTTGACATGCACATTTGTGGCGTTTGAGTTCGCTTCACTGAACAGCGTACACAAATTTGTATTGAAATTTTGCTCATCATTTTGACGTGGTAGATATAGAATAGATTAATTATTTGCACGTGCGTGTGTGCTTAGTTGACTTAAATCATCTACTTTGCATTAAAATTATCGTTTTTCATACATTATAAAATAAATAATTAACTAATTAAATAAATAATTAATTAAATAAATGAAGAAATTAAAAAGTAAGCATTCACAACTTGAAATATTCGTGCATAGTCGAGGATTAACAAAACAGCAATTAATATCCATATTTATATTTCACGAGCCAGTCCTCAGCAAACGTTGTTCAAATTTTTCGTCGTTACAACATGCAACATCAACTTGTGTGTGTGTGTTTGTGTGTGTGTGTGTGTGTGTGTGTGTGTGTGTTTGTTTGTTCATAAATATCTAATTTGAGAAAAATCATTGCATAATAATTTTAACTTAAAATGTTATTCCTAACTTAAAACTTTCCTTTCAAACACTTCAACATCCAACTTTCAACCAAATAACAAATTTTCAACAGGCTGGCATAAATAACATCGTCTTTCTACTTCTTTTCAACGTTTACAATTCATAAAACATTTCTTTCTTAAAATAACTTCAGACAAGCAAACAGGGGTGCGACAGATAGCACGACAGGCATGAAATGGAGAAATATTTGTGACGTAATGTGGATGTACGGCCTAATTAACGTCATCAAGTATCGTCTGGCATTGTTCATAACATGAAAAATGTTTCGCTTTTATGTTATTAAAATGTAACTAATGGTCTCAATTTGGCAGGGATAAAATGAGACGTAATAAAATTTTATAAGCTTTCCTGGATGCACATGTCGACACGTTTTCATTGCCCGTTCATTTGTTTGCTCGTTCTAAGGTTTCGGCGTTTTATTAGAAGTTTGTTGATATTTATTCTTACCTAAAACAAGTTTATTTTTATTTTATGTGCCAATTATTAAAGTCAAATCACTCGCGTGTAGTTAATTTTTCTCATATCACTTTTTGAGAAAAACTAAAAGATTTTGAAAAAGATATTTTAATGAAAATTTGTTCAGATTCATTGTTCATCGGATGATGATGATGATGAGTGATTGCATCAGCATGTGCGAATGTGTGATACGCTGTTTGCTATCTACTGTTCTATTTCTAGAATCAAGTTTGTCATTTCATTAGATTGCATTTGAAGGAAATGACGCTCAGTTCGTCGTCATCACACCACCATCCTTATTATCATCATGATTGTTGTTGCTGCTGCTGTTGTTGTTGTTGTTGTTGCATTGTTTTTAGGTATTTATTTTGAGAAGTCATCGGAATGTGAGGCATAACGTGACCTTAACGATTGTTGATGTCACGACCAGAACCAAAAGCGCTGCACTTTATTGATTTATCGGCTCCTTTCCCAAGAATTCTCTTATAATCACATGATCTTTCCTTATTATTTATTGTGTAGCCGTGAGTTCGCTTGTCTTTATTTTCGTTGTTTCTCGGTCTATGTTTGTGTTATTGTTAGGCAGTTAGGTTATATGATTGTGTGTGGTTTATCTTGTCTGGATTTGGTTACATTACACACTACACACGCACACAACCTATACACACACACCACACACTTACACACGCACACATCGCACAGCTACAAGTACATAAATAAATAAGTGGATAAAATTTTAAATTAAAAAATCTTTTCTTTTGATTTACTGTCTATGGCGTATTAAACGACTTTATTGTTATTTATTATTAGCTCAATACAAAAAACATTATTAATAACCATAATAATAATAATAATAATATTAACAACAACAATGATAATAACAATAATTTAATATATTCATTTAGTTATAAATGCGTGTAAAATGCTAAAAATAAATTTTTACGATCCGAAGAAAGCATGGAATGATAACGTTGATGATGATGGCGGTGATGATGACGATCAACACAATAATGATAACGATAATGATGATAGTTATGATAATGATGATGATGATGACGACGACGAACATTGTTGACGGTTGAAATCTGAAATGAACTCCACATATGTCACAAGACACCATTTTGTGAGCAGTCTTCAGTTGTCATCATCATCATCATCATCATAATCAACATCATCATAATCAACATCATCATCATCTTTTTTTTCCTACTCATCATTACCATCATCATCAACAGCAACAACGTCATCATCAACAACAACAACACGAACAACAACAAAACCACAACATCGACAACAAAAACAACGACAACAACAACACGAACAACAAAACAACAACAACACTAACAACAACAAAACCACAACGACGACAACAACAACACCATCACGAACAACAAAATAACAACAACATGAACAACACATCATTCCAGACCTTCAATTGACCAGCGCGGCGATCAGTGGGACAGAACAAACAAGTTCGGACAGATATATTTACAGGCAACAACATCTATCTAATAATAAACCACCACACACAAACCCACCACTATGTAATTAATGACTACCACAGCAATCAATTAACACGCAAATAACCATTAAAAAAAGCTATGGTAAAATAACAACACCCATTTTTGGTACATAATCTTTTACCACTACCACAATTAAACCTAATTCTGTGCTACTATCGTCACAAATACCATTTTCCAAAATGTGAACATGAAGAATTTACGATCATCCTCCGTTGAAATAAATACTATTAACATTAGAAATAAAATAAATTTAATAGCATAACAATAATTGATATGTATGCGAAAATATGAAACACCTTATTTAGATTTATTTGATCCAAACTTCTACCTACTTCTGCAGCGTATAATCATTGCTGACGATGAGTTTGTTGTTAGCAATACAATTAACAACATCAACCACAACAACATTAAAAACAACAAAAACAACAACAAAGAAAACATCAACAACATTAAAAACAGTACGGACCTGAGACCAACGTCAACAAAAAACATCAACAACATTAGCAACATTAGCAACACTTATGAGACAAAAGAGCCAAACAAAACGACAAACCTTTGCAAGGGACGCCGACACAAACGCACCAACAAGGATTACACATCGAAGTTAAACCAAACGTCAACTGAAACAACAACAGTAAAAACATCAACAAAAAACATCAACAGCAACGATAATACATTATGAGACATGTAACGTGACGTAATTAACGACACGTGCACCGGCTTACAAATTATCTCCTCCTAGTACAAACTTACATATTTATGTGTCGTTCGCCAGTCATTTCATATATACGCTCTTTCCCTCTATAAATGTATAATTGTATACAATTATATGTATATTTGCACATGTATCTATGTGTATGTATGTATGTAAATGTATGTTTATGTATCTATAGGCTGAAAGTGTTTGTACATATGTATTGTATATGTATGCGTACACATATACATATTTTAAGTGGCGTACCGAAACATTAAGAAGCCTACTTAGTACGTATTTTTGCGACCTGTTAACATAGAATTATGTTAGATTTTATAAATAAATTTGTGGAAAAAAGGATAGTTTATAAATATTCAGTGTTTGTTTTTAAGTTATAACATTCATTTGCTCGTTTTGAATGTGTATTGTGTAATGTATACTAATTTGTTTTGAAGTCTCACAAAAATAAAATCTTATTAGAAGCATTTAAAATAAAACGCTGTTCAGCTTGAAGTTCATTAGCTATATGTCTATTTAGCAAATTTTTTAATTGTATGTATTGAGTTTTGTTATGTAAATTTATGAAAATTTCAACAATATGACCGTCACTTATTGATTGAAGATGCTGATGGCGATGTGTGGAATGAATGTTGCACGCATCAGGCGATTATCGAATATAATAATAAAAAACATTGAATGAACTTTTTTAAATAAATAAGGATTGAAGCACCAAATATAAGAATGAATTAGCTTGATTTGCTAAACATTAGAAACGTGAAAATGAAACCGCGCCACATTGTTCAAAGAAAATCCGTGGCAATGAAAGAGGAAACTATTTTCTGCTTTTTCCAAGATATGCAAAAAAAGATACGATGGAAAAAATTTGGAGTTTGAACATTAATAAATCTCATATCAAATAAGGAAATTTTTATATTGAAACAAACTGAAGCAGTCCATCAAAATGTGAAAAGTGTATCTTAAGTGTTAAATTTGAATCAGCTGAATCAAATGCATCTACAGCTTTCGGATGGACTATGATATAAATGTTTTGAAATGAAATTCATTTCATGAAAATATAACATACCAAATTTTTTAACCTACCGCATTGTGGCCCGCATAACATGGCCAAGTTTTCAGTCCATAGCTCAACACCAACAAAATGTGGTCGCTAACATGGCCTTAGCATCAAAAGTGTATGTGTGTGGCCCCATTAGGCGGGTATCTAGTATACATAAAGTATGAAATATCTATAATCATTTCGGCAAAATGGCTTCAACGTAAATTTTTAAAAATGTTTATGATATTGATGTAAACTGAGTAGTAAAGTAGATATTAGTGCTGATCTGAATGTCTGCGTACGAGCAACTTTCTGTAAATGTTGTTGCCCATGTTTTCTTAATGTACGACTGTCTGATGATGATGGGTAACATACTCAAATGATTGAACACACGTGAATGTGGACTCACTCACGATAGTTACGTCATGATGACTGAGTTGGTTGGCCAACTTTCGTTACTGACGTTGCTTATTATATTTATAGATGCAGATGAGATGACGAGCGACTACAGCAGCAGACACACGTTCCAAGAAAGAAGGACCCAATAATTTCAAATTAGATACTCTCCTGGCGGGCGCATCAATTTTAATTATATTAATGAATTCTTCAAATCCGCAGCGTAGAAATTTATTAATATTAAATTTTGTTTTATTTCCGTTTTCATCACCATTCTCGTCGTCATCATCATCGTCACTCCCATCGTCATCATTGTTGTTTATTACATGATATCATCAGTGTTATTACTATCACTAAGACAACTTTAAAAAGGAGTGAGAGAAATTTTAAGAATTTGTAATTTTTGTAATTTGACGGGGGGTGGACTAAAAATTAACCGAATTCGTGCTTATGTGACCAAAAGTAAGTTGGTGACCTCTTTTTCGCTTGTCAGATCAATTTTTGGTTGATTTTTTACATGAAACGGTGTTTTTCCTCCGTAGAAACGGAGTTTTAACGACTTATCAAAGTACTACTGCTGACAAGGTGGGCCATGGTCCTCCAGCCCTCGCCCTAGATCCAGCACTGTCTATCACTATGTTGACCGTGATCGCCCTCATCTTCGCTCACTATGACATCAGTGTTATCATCGTTGTTGCAATGTTATTATGGTTAAGTTATATATCCAATTGTCATCATGTTCGTATCTTTGTACGCAACACTGTAGCGTCGTGTCATTTTTGTTGCTTCTTACCAACATTGTCATCATAGTCAAGCCGCTCTTTTCGGCCCCACTTCAAATCTTAAATCCTTAAATTTATAATAAAAAAATGTTACTAAGAATACTTCAAATAATATTTTACATTTTCAAACAAAATGACTCGATCACTCCGCTATTTCTGTTCTCATTAAAATTTTTTCTCATATCTCATTAATTTTTCCATCACCGTATTCACGAACATTCTCGATACCATATCATCATCACATTCTTATCACCATTACCTCTATCTTCACGTTTAAAATCGGCACTGATCTGATGACAATCGTACCTAATTAAAATAGTAAATATTAGAAAATTGTAATTAGTTATAATGTGATTAGTCAGTTAATTAATTAAATGAATAAATTTATTCAAAGTTTCGGAAAATCTTTCATGTGTGACAATTCTCCCATGGTTAATGTTTTCAATAGAATAGCTCAATGTTTAAAAAAACAACAACTGCAGACACCAATGCAAGCAAACACGGCATGATGGTGATTGGTTGGACCACATCATTACAGGCAAATTGTTGACACTGCTGCCATCTGAGCCAAATTGCTGATCATTAATAATTTTTTGTTTTGTTTCTTTTTTTGTTTTTTAAAATTTATGACTTCTGAGTGTCACTTGTAAATTATCAAAAAAGACATTATTGCCACATCACACATACTATATCTTTCCTTTCTATTGTTTCAGAAACACCATGAGCCAGCCAAATAATCATTGAGATCTATTAAAGTGATGTCATTAATCATTATCGTCACAAATATTATTATCAACAAGAATACCATGCAGCCCTTGTGCAAGGAAACAACGAACAAACCAGTTAACAATAACACACCATTATTACCACCATCATTACCGCCGATACAACCACCACTACCATAACCACAACCACCACGGCCACTACAACCACCATCCTCACGAGCACCAGGACTGCCTCCATGACGAACCACATGCAGCCGGCCATTGTAAAGCTCACCCTCGCCATAAAATTAGCACATCATCATAAACCTTGAAACGCGTTGGCATTTACGGCGCAATTTTACTTCATTCACCAATCTATCCAACTATCCAACTATTCATTCATTCATTCATTCATTCATTCATTCATTCATTCATTCATTTATTCATTCATTCATTTGTTCATATCTTCATCTAAATAGCTTTTTATTTATCCGGCCATTTATCTTCCATGTCAACAATCTGTTTAACAATAATTTATTTTGTATTTTTACATTTCTATGCTTTTTCTATCATAATAAATCTTTTTAAAATTTATTTATAAATAAATTAATGTTTATTTTTATATTTTCAGCTTTTGGTTTTTTAAATTGTTCATGGTAGATCATTTCGTTCATCGCTCACTCATTCACTTACCTATTCATTCAATGATTCAATCACTCATTCAACCAATCAATCAATCAATCACTCACTTAATCAACCAACCGATCAATCAATCAATCACTCAACCAACCAACCGATCAATCAATCACTCAACCAACCAACTAATCAATCAATCAATCATTTAATCAGCTACACAGCCAGTACAGCCGTTTGATAAATAGATGCAATACAAATAGTGCCTAGATAGAGCGTGATCGAATGCATGAATGAGTAAATAGAATTAAATAGACACACCATGCACACATAAACTCATACAAACACATACAGGTAAAAACATATATACATATAAATTACACGCACATAAACACATACACATGATACATACGATATATCATAGATGATACATAGATGGCTATTCTTTTGAATGTATACAATGCAAAATGTGTTTGTTTGTTTATTTGTTTATGTGTCTGTGTGTGCGCTTGTACTTTGTATGATATCCACTATACACAGTGAATATATTATTTGGTGAGACGAGAAATAGTTCACGTCAGCGGCATATATTAACGCCAGTCATTTCTTGAAGGACCACCATTTTGTCGCCCATTTCCTGAATGGAAGTGCTACTTGAGAAGGTTATGGCCTACCTGACGATAGTATAGTGGCCGGTCTGCTGTCACTGCTGTTCAAGTTGTAAAGTCCTTATAATTAGATTTACGTTGCTGGTCGTTGATGGACGTGCTGTCCTGCTCTTCGTCGTCTGCCGTTGTTGTTGCTGCTGCTGCTGCTGCTTCATCTTCTTCCTGCTGCATCTTCTTCCTCCTGACACTGCATCCCCTTCCGTCTCATGTTTTCTTCTTCTGCCTCTTTGAGCAAGACTTTCGTTTTTATTTGATGTTTGTTGTTGGTGAGTGCATTTTTGTTGCCGCAAAGATTGTTTCAGTTTTTTTGTTGTGCTGTTAATTTGTTGATGTGTTGATGGTTCGTTGATAATTCTTGTTTGCTGTTCCTCTGAATTTCCAGCTGTTGTTTGTCATTCGCGTCAGTTTTTGCCGCCTTCATACTGTTCTTTGCGGTATGAATGGAAATTGCAGTTGCGTTATTTACTGTTAAGGAATGTTTGTTGACTTTTTTATTTTTTTGTCACCTTGGCATAACCATAAAAAACTAAACAATTGTATTTGCAAAACATCTTAAAATTTTCTCTTATTTGTCCTATTTGAACCAATAATGGGTAAAAATCACCATTTTTTAAAGAGCGTTTATTCTACATTTTAACAATATTCACCAACCACGCTACGAACACGCACGACGTGCACACACACCCCGAATGTGTTAAGAGCAACTAGAATCTCCTCCATTTATGTTGAAACATTCAACTTTTCGAACAGATTCAACAGATTTCCACCGTGTTGATTTATTCTTTGAGATGTTTTCACAAGTTTCTCTTCCAAAGTTTTATTTACTATTATTCATTGCTTTAACCAACGTATTCTCGCAAAAACTTTGTGCATATTTTTCAGTAAAAAGAAATAATTTTGAAAGAAACATTGAAAAAAAATAATTTTTATGTTAGGTTGAAGGTTCGAGTTTGAAAAAAATGACTGAGATTATGTTCTATAATAAATTGGTATTATATATATATATATATATATATATATATATATATATATATATGTATATATATATATATATATATGTTGGTAATAGACCATAATTTATAGAATATTGTAAATATATATATATATATATATATATATATATATCGTTGTTATTTTTTAGTTGAAGTTGTTTGCAAATATCACAAACAAAATGCAAGTTAACCATACTTGCACATTTGCATGGCACCAACGAAACGAAGGGAAAACTGGAACCACGCAATGAAAGTGTTGGAAAATATCTGTATGCACTTTCGCTACGTTAATTATTAACAAGGAAAACCTCAAAAATCGGTCATTATTTCAAACTATTTGTGTCGCCATTTTTGCGTGAAAGTGCAAAAATGTTAAGTTGATTGGCTGCAAATATAATTATGCTCAACGTCTTTATTTTCACAATTGAAGCTAAGAAGAAATCTCGAAAATCAAGTTTTATCCTATGCAAAAACATAATCATAAAATGAAAATAATGAACTGTTTATGGCCGTTTACGTGAAAACAATCCGCCCAAATGAGAACATTCACAAAAAATGTGATGGAGATGTTGTTGACTCTGGGGTGCATCGTAATCATTTTCAGGGGGCCTTTTTTAATATTTTCATGTGATTACATTAAGAGTTAATGCAGTTAATTTATAAATGAATTAAAATTTGAAAAGATCAAATAAATAAAGTTTAATAAAATGAAAAAATGTAAAATGTTGTGTGAAACATTTATTTAGCAGACTATTCTCCTTCACCGTAAAAACTGACACACCAAGAAATTCTAAAAAAAGAGACACGTAGGAAAGGAGGCAGTACCTAAGTTCTTTCTTGCCAGTTGCTGGTATGTATGCCATACAAACGACAGTTCTTGATAAGGGAGTTGGCGCCTTCGGTACTCAAGATGCAATAAACTTCTTATCGTCCAACTCAACAGATTTCAAATATTAAGAAGAGTGAAACAATAAAACTGTTTGACATTTTGAATGTAAAACATCACACTGAAAAATGCAGATGAGTCTTCGATGCATATTCATGTGTTCATGTGTTGGTGCTTCCCCATTTCAACTCCGAATTTGTTTTTGTGGCGTCTATATACATACAATTTTTAAAGAAACACAAACACACTCACATGTGTACGCTCGCATCAAGTTTGTTTTATAAATGTGCGCGTTTGTGTATGTGTTTGTGTATTATCTTTTCATCTGTATTTGTTACTATTTGTAGATGCTGTGTAGGTATGACCAAAAGGTGAGTGGCGGACACATACAACTGCATGTGTGTAATTATACATTGATTACATCATTATACCTGACTACCCATTCAACACAAAAATATAAATGCTCGGATACACACACCACAAAACCACCACACACACACACACACACACACACACACACACACACACCTCATCTTGCCACACCACAAACGCATACACTCACACACACACGCACACTCTTTCTTTCACACACACACAGCGTTCACAAAAATATTTTAATCACACTTTCCTTGCGTCTTGTATTGCATGAAGCCCACGCAAATGTGCATGTTCGTCATTCATTGTCGATGTTTGCATTAATGTTTGTTTGTATGTGTGTTTGTATATTTGTCTGTTTGTTTGCCTGTGTGTTTGTATGTTTGAATAACTGCATGCTTGTTATTTTGTATGTTTGTATGTTAAAATTTTTCCAAACTTATTTTTCAGGCTTCTATATTCAGAAATTTGTGTGTTTGCCTCTCTGCTTGTTTATTTTTGTATTTCACGTCTTTTCATGCTTGCATGTATTATTGTATTGTATGTTTGTTTGTATATTTTTCTGCAAGTTTGTCTGTATGTTTGTATATTTTTCTGCAAGTTTGCTATCAGATGAAAGTCCAAGTTAACGGCTAGGAATGAGAAGATGAAAGTAGAATTTACGAGGATTTAAGATAGAAACAAAACAAAGGCGATGGGAAAGAGAATTTGATGCGTGTTGTTGCTGTTGTTGTCGGAGTTATTACTGTTGTTGTTGTTGGAGGTTTTGTTGTTGTTGGAAGTTTTGTTGTTGTTGTTGATGTTTTATAGTTTCTAATTTTACTATTGTTGTTGCCAATAATGCTTTCAACGGTGCTATCAATGTCCTTAAAGTTGTTAATGTAGTTGAAGCACACATACACAAACACACACACATATACATACACGCACGCACACACAAACAAACACATCCACACGAACGCACAACACACAAACGCACGCACAACACACACACACACACCTACATTTTAAACTCTGCCTTCGAGTATAGAGTTTCAAAACATGCTCTTCCACATGTTTCAGTAGGTGCAGTGTTTCAAAATATCTTAGGTAGCGTTCACTATCCAATGTCTGCTTTCGTAAGTGTGATGACACACACGCACACGTACACGCACGCACACACTCAATTGTTCTTCATTTGGACACTGTTACATGAATCGTCTCAGGTTGCTTATTTTTATGAAAAAAAGGAAAATTATTTCTTCTTATTAGTTTTTAACATCATCACCATCCTCGTCATTATCGCTATCATCATCATCATCGTCATCATCATCATCATCGTCATCATCATCGTCATCGTCATCATCATCATCATCATCATCATCGTCGTTGTCATTATCGTCATCATGATTACCATCATAAATTTGATCATCACAATAATCGCCATCATCATTTTCATCATCATCACCAACAGAGGAATTTTATTTTTAGAAATAATTAGAGGAGCATTAGAGACACAAAACTGCGAACCGTAGATCTAAAATGCACGTACCAATGTGCAAATGTGTTAGTTTCTTGAGACATGTTCAACATTTGTATGTATCTAACATAAGAGGCAACAAACATAGCAGCATTTGTCCACGTAAGGTAAGTTCGTAACACACACCGCAAAGTTTGATCACGTACATAGCAGTGTTTATTCACGTAGATAACACACACATACACACACACACACACACAACAGCGCTTTTATTTACGTCGTAAAAATGTTCGTGACGACGGATGTTTGTGGAGTGGTGAACGCGAGCGAACACACGTTAAAGAGTACATTGCACTGTGCATGTTCATGGAATATGATGAAGCATTATGTATGCGTGAAATATCAAAACGCTCAGTAGGCAAACAGTAAACACACATGATGATTTAGAGCGAGTGCATACGGCTGGAATAATAAAGAAAGGGAACAAATGATATTAGGATGAACGCGAGCGTAGATCAAAGGAGTAGCAGTATTAATCATTGCTTTTCGCAGGTTATCAACGGCCAGTAATTGCGCAAGAGCGTAAATTATGCATGCAGGCAGCCCGCTCAATGGATGGCACGGAACTCGAGAGAATAAAATTTCAGGCAACAAAGGGTCGTAAAAATTGTTGAAAAAATAAATTTAAATAAAGTAATTTGTATGCATTAAACACCCCTGCCGTCATAAAGCGCTGTATATTCGTGCGATGATATGCGAGAATATGAAGCACGTCACGACACATCAACCCTTCGTTTCATTCACTTTCATGCACCACTGTCTCTGCCTTTCTATCATCTTTGCTGGACTTGTTGATTGCGTGTTGGTTTTTAATGAATAGATATTAATTATTATTTGCAATTGTTACCAAAGAATATTTTAAAAAATAAATACAATTATTTATACAGAGTGTATTAGAAAGCGCCCGTCATCTAGAAGCAAAACTTGGATTTTGGAAATGTAGATGCCAGATAAATTGGCTAAGAGGAAAATGTTGGGAAGGAGTTAATAAGATACCTTGAATAGAGAAGATTGGCAGCAAAACGCCTTAAAAGTGGTTCGAACCTGATTTGATTGCCAATTTTCTGGTCTTTGGAGATGGAGAAAGAAAAGCAAAGAAGGTCAGCGCCGACACGTAAATAAAGTTAATAAGAGAGAGAAAGAGAGAGAGAGAGAGAGAGAGAGAGAAAGAAAGAGAAAGAGGGAGAAAGAGAGCTAAGTTTTAATATGTCAGTTAAAAAAAGTTTGATGGTGGTGGAGTCGCTTTAAAACAGTTTGCAAATCGTCTCGGAACATCAGTTATTATTTACTTATAAGGGTTATTTTGTTTATTTTTTATTTTTGAAAAAAGTATACGTTCATTTGAATAAGCATTCAAGTACATTCACACCTTTAACAGAATGACGGATGAAAAACTTCCTGCAAATTACATTATTTAATTCGCAAACTTTCAAACTGTTATATTTCGTTTCAACGTAACGTATGCAATTCTTATTTTTGAAAATTTTCAACATCTACAATAATAAAAAATGTTCGTTGAATAATGAAGAATTTGAAAAGGAGATCTGCAAATAATGTAGGTAACATTATAAACAAATGTTTAATTCTATTTTTTCTTGATTTATGCTTTTCCAATAAAATCTTAAAAACCAACATTTATCGCCGCGGGTCACAAAAATATACTTACTGCCCAAAGTTATCTAAAAAAACCGAATAGAAAAAATCAAACAACAAAACAGCGACGAATTATAACAAGCCACACAGACATGGGAATATATAACTCAACAACAACACAACAACAGCAGCAACAACAACAATAACTACGACATCATTCAACGACACATCCAACCCATAATAATAGCAAACAATAACAACAATACTCACACAAACAGCTACAAAAAACAGCAGCAACACAAATCAACAGCAGCCAAAACAACATCAAAAACAACAACAACAATCGCTCCTAACTAACCGTTGGGTTCGGAACATGTGATTGGTCGATGAGATACAAGTACTAAACACGTGACATACAGAAGCCAATCATCCATCAGCATTTGAATGTCAAGGACAATCCTTCTCTTAATATGGCCACCAAATTGAATCCTTCCAATGAAAGAAGCTTTTCTGTTCTGAAATTAAAAAAAATAATTTCAATTCGTCTCATGACGGATCCATCGCGGAATGAGGAGCGTGATCGAACTGTTCTTATGTCGGTCACTCCCGTGTTTCTTAATGGCTTCATTAGCATACAATTACGCCGTGATGAACATGAAACTTATAATTATAAATGTGACATGAAGATGAAACATATATATATATATATATATATATATATATATATATATATATATATATATATATATATATATGAATAACATTGCAGTTATCATCATCTTCTTCATTCGTCATCATCATCTTTATTATCCTCACCTTCATCATCACTCTCTTTATCACCATCCTCATCATCATCATCGTCGTCGTCGTCATCATCGGCTTACTTAGAGGTCATGGATATAAACTCGGGTTGTAATTAATTTGATCTTCACCATCATTGCCATCATTGATGATGATGATGATGATGATAATAATAATAATATTAATAACAGTTGTAATCATAGCAATAGTAATAAAGAAGGCGCAGAAACAAGGGACAACAGCAACAACAGCAACAACAACAACAACAAATGAATGATAATGATTTTGATGTTTCTAAAAATGAAGTTCCTCTGCAAAATAAGAAAGGGGAATAAAAAAGGGATATGAATAAAAAATCCAAAATGGTCTCCGAGCTATCGTATCTCCACAAAATGAAAGTCGTTTAGTGTTGATGCAATGGGCAAGTAAGAAAGTTTAATGCGTCAGACACTTGCTCTCTACATGTACGTCTCTTTGTCTGAGTGTGTGTTTGTTTGCCAATGTGCGTGAGTGTGTGTGTGTAAATTTGTGTGACTTTGTGAGTGCTACAGGCTGTTTTGATTTGTTGTTGATGTTGTTGGTAATGTTGCTGTTTTTGTTGTTGTTTGGCGTTTGGGTGCGGTTAATATTTTATTAAGAAAAATGTCAATGATTTTTTCGTTGGAGAATTTGTCTTCCTTAGGTCCTTGTGCTGTTTTGCTATTACTGCCAAATTGGTGGATGTGTGTTTGCTTGCGTTTTGAGCTACTTGTTCTCCTTGCTAACGATAGTGCTTCATTTTGTTTATTGAAATGCTTATTAAATGAATATTTAAATCGAGGCAATCAATTTTTGTTTAAAAATTTTGTTTCGGTGCCACTAATGGACGCCTAATTAAGTAAACTTTAAATCTTTCTACTATTTCAAAAAAACAGTTGGAAAGCAGCTTGGTCTGCAAGTTAGCTCGGTCTGTAGATGTGCAGCTCTCTGGTTCAAATACTGTCTGTACAAATTTTAAAGACTATCTAATCTACTGTAAATTTTCCATCCTCACAGATATTTTGAAACTTTCATTTTCGGTCGACATTGTGATTGTGATAGCAGTTTTGAGGTTAGAGCATCCTCCTTCAATGACTTGCCAACTCGAGTGCCATCTTTTCTATCTTCACTTCCACCACTGAAAGGAGAAATTTTATTTTGGTCGTCAAGCAGTCCCGTCATTTTTGCGGTTTAATAACAAAGTAATGGTTGTCATGGAGATGATATGATCAACAAACGAATCACGTTCAGGGCATCGAAGAACAATTTCTGCTCTAATGTCCCTCATAAAATAAATATAAACATTCAAACCGCTGCGATGAAATAAAAATCGTTCACACGGCTAACCTCGGTAACATGTTCCTCACTCAAGTATGTCGAAAATTTGAAACATTTAATTGGCCGTGCACAACGATATTTTTCATTTTATACTTTCGATGTTTGCTGCGCTCCGTGTCGTCATTGCTATCAAGTAGATCAATGCCGATCTAAAAATATTTCATCATCATAACAGAAGCAAACAGTTTGATGCGGATTCAAAAAGCTATTGACATCGCTAACGAAAAGGTTTTTTTCAAGAAACCAAACAAAAAAATCAGAATTATTTTTTTTTCCGGTGAAAGATATGCGGGCTTAACTTTTAATAGAGTTGCATCAGAAATAAGAAGTGTTAACGCCAAAATATTTTTTACTTCGTTTGAACTTATTTATTTTGTAGTGCTTCTGATGGTTTGGATTACGTTTTCAAACAATAAAAACCCGCTACAAGCTTTACAAAAATTTTTTTTTAATTTGATTTGAATTTCTAAAAAGTATATTTGTAGCCTAAATATTCTTCATTGTACCGTGGAAATGGTTGGCACTTAATATGAAATAACTGCGAATTTGAAGGAAACACTGGACAATTTATGATCAATTTGACGTTTCCAACTAAAATATTTCCAAACGTCCACAAAATGCATCTTCGTTGAAATTGATTCGTTCAGAACAGTTTTTATGTCCTTTGATGGTTTGTGCTTTTTTGGAAAATATGAAAATTGATAAGTTAATTGTTGAAAGAAATCAAAAGTTTTCCTTCGCATCTGACGGACAGCACAACAAACAGCACAATGAGATGTCGTTGCTAAAGAGAACATTTATGGAAAGATTCTATTAATGCCAGCTGCCAATCCATCTGCTTATTTATTTCCTCCATTCATTCACTGCCTACTTGTATTGTGTACCCATGCGTGTCTTCATGTATCATTTAATATGACAATGTGATTATCGTAGTTTTTGGTTATAGATTTATTAAAGTTTTTTTTAAATGTTTCTAAAATATTTACAAACTTGAAAAATTTTATAAAAAATTTGGTTTTTTAAGTTAAAGAGTTATAAATAGGAAAAAAATTTGCAAGAACAAGTTTTGAATGATCGAACGAGGAATTTTTGAAATAAGCGCTTTCATATATAAATTTCAAATTTGTAAGTATGTATTGAGAAATGATAATGAACGTTAGATTAATCATCAGTTATCAAGGAAGACTTCCATTTTTTTTTCATTTTGAAATTAGTAATCTCATTTCTATTCTCAAAGAATTGTTTATTCTTCATTCATACAAAAACTTTTAAAGAGTAAGGCTTTTGTTTCCCTATATATAATTTCCCAACTGAAGCATCATTCATATTTTCTTGCAATTATTAAGCTAGGAGCATTTTTTATATAAATTTTTCTTCTTTCGTCGCGACAGTTACTTTTTTGTAAGAAATTTGTTATTTTAATTTAATACTCTTTTTTTATTAGTTCAATATTTTAATTTATCGATCTTTTCATTCATCAATCCATTCATTCATCCATCCATCCATCAATTCAACCATCCTTCCATCCATCCATCCATCGATCCATCCATCCAATCGTCGTCCGTCCGTCTGTCTATTCATCTTTCTATCCATTCATCCACTTATCCATTATTTGTCTAATTAGTAAGAAACACTCTTCACGACTTGCCACCTGCTTCCTACCTTTCAAAAATTTTTACACCTCCAATTGTCTGCTGGCATTCACCATCAGCTTGTCATCGGCACAAACGTGTCGCTTCAAATTCTTCTCCTCTCCAACCTTCCAGCAATTTTTGCTCTACACACAAGAAGACAGCCAGCCCCTTAGCGTACCACCTCGCAACATCATGCCCACTAAAACATTTTATTTTTCATGTTGCAGAAAGTTGCAGACAAGATGCAACATTTTGTTGGAAGACGTAACAAACAAATAACTGAAACAATTAAAAATCAACAAATTCCATCAAGCTAATCAAACTATCATCAACAACCTTATTGAAAGTTATATTTAAAACAACGTTTTAAATCATGTCCATAATTAAATGTTTGCTATTTGCGTCATATTGTTTTGTAACCAAACCATAACTGAGTTTGTTTATAAGAAACATCCAAACCTCTCTACTAAGTAGCAACAATAAAAACTTAACTGATGTTATACGACAAACGTGATTTAGTGAGCTGCTAGAGGGCTTTGATCACACAAATATTAAATATTAACAGTATTAAAATAAATTGTCAAGAACGAGTTGATGAACAGAAAATAATTTTTCAACGAAATTCCCAACGAATTTATATCTAATCGGCTTAGAGAAACATGCAAGCGTGCAGAATGGGGAACATTTTGAATGGTAGCCCGTCTGCCCTTAATATGTTTACTGTTCAGTCATCTGTAACGCATGCGTCTGAATTATTCTCTTTATATTTATCCGCATTTCCTTCTTATTTTTGCTCGAAATAAATGGGTAGACGACTCGCTTGAACAACTTTTGCATGCTAATAATGATAAAGAGGAGGAAGTGATGATGAGGACGATGATGATGATGTCTCGAAAGGTGCTGATGACGATGATGATGATGTTTCGAAAGGTGCTGATGACGATGATGATGATGTCTCGAAAGGTGCTGATGACGATGATGATGATGTCTCGAAAGGTGCTAATAACGATGATGATGACGATGATGTGATGAGATGAGGGTAATGATGAAAGAATCCAGAGTGAGTCACATTTAAAGTTTTTATTTCAAATACCTCAAAAGAGACACATTCATTGCTGACTTTCATTATTAACGAGTCATTAACTTCATGTAATTAATTTCGTATCATTAATTATGCACGCAGTCCGGTGTCATTCATAAAAATGATTAATCACGTTTGCAATGTTCGCGTATAACTACAAAACAACGAACGATGTTGGAGTTGGAGAAACATTTGCATGCAGGCCGGCTGCAGAGGATTAAACAGGTGTGCCTGCTACAACAAGCATCAATGGATGTGGTATGTCGCCTGTCGAAAGCGAAGTTGCTTGCAACGAAATTGATTTGCTTAAAGCGTCTGCTCAGAAAACATGCAAAATTAATGGTGGAACTTTTAATGATGGTTTGTAACATCGATGGTAAGTTAAGTTAACAATTAAGTTAACAATTAAGTTAACAATTAAAAACTTGCTCTCCTCTCAAATGAAATTGATGATGTTGACGATGTGATTGATGAAGAAGTATGATTATGACGATGATGCGACTGTTGGATGGTGACTTTGATTATGATGACAACGAGGTTGTTGATTATTATTGCCATGATGATATTGTTTTTGTTAACTATGATGATGATGAGTCGATGATGATGATGAGTCGATGATGATGGTGTGATCATGACAAGCACAACCAGCCTGCAGCTAAGAAGATAATGAAATGTACTCTGTTGATCTTTGTAGCACCATTTCAGCAATTATTATTAGCTGGTTGAATCTTAAATGAGAAATTAATTTCAAACTTTTTCGTTCATATGTTCAAATCGATTTATTCATGACGCGGCAGATTTTACACTTTTTAAAAATCATTAAATTTTTTTTCTAAAACATCGGATGACTTTTGTTTGCAGGAATAAAATTACATTAAACATACTTTGAAACGAATTCGTTGTTTATGTTTATGATTGAATTTTTTGTTTATTTCGCAAGCAAACGTGCATACATGCATGTTTTGTTTTTATTGGTGGTTGTTTATTTTTTCCGCCATTTCTGTGAACATCAACGACGCCAACATTTTTCATTTCTTTGGTCGAACATCAACGGTTATATTTCGTATTTTTTGTTTTTTTTGGCGAGTCGGAGTTAAAAATTGTGAAAGTGAACAATTGTAGAAACGCCTCAAACACTCTCTCCTTCACTCACTCTCTCCCCTTGGAGACCAACTTGAAATATTCATGTAACACGTTTCCAACACACACCTACATAAAGACTCAAACAAACATAGGCACGACAACAAATATGCTCCCATACAGACACCAATACACACATATACAGATTCGTAGAAGCATACACACTCACCCACATGCAGACGCAAACAAACATACATACACAAAAATTCCGACAAACATACAAAAGCAGATACAGACAGATATGCACAATTACACACATTCATACTTAATTGTAAGTAGATGCGTGATGTGGCCAGCAGAACAAAACGACAGAGAATAGTACATTCATAAATAACATCACTCTCTATAAGCCTGCCTGGCTGCCTACATGTATGCTCACACTCGTTCACACTTCTTTGTTTACTCAAGTACCCATTTTTGTACACACACACACACACATAGATGTGTGTGTGTATGTGTGTGTATGTGTTTATAAACATATTGCATATATGAATATATTATAATTATATTATTATAAGAATACTGTACCCTAGATTAATAACTATAATTTGCTGAAATTAACAAATTATAACTCGTTCACAAACACACGTACATAATCTAGCAAATAAGATAACACTGGGTTAAACAACATGGACATATGTACAGTGTAGTGCATTGTAGTAGAGTACATGCATACTTAAAAGAGAGGACCTGGCTGACGATTGTAACGTAACTTTGCTACGTCAGCTTCCATCTCACGCCTCACACAATAAACACTGCTTAATGCCGACCGACGTGCGAGCGCACAAACGCATTTGCTACTCACAAGTAAGAAACTTATTCGTGCTCAGGACGACGTACAATTTATGCTGATGTACGCCGATGAAAACAACAGAAACATGGACAACAAGAAATTCAGCAGCAGGACAACAACAATCAGCGAACGCAAATTGACAACGTTTGTGAAGAAATGTACGTGCCTCTAAGTAGGGGAACGATTCTTCAGTTCATCGTGAGCTTTCTCATATCTACCTCCTTCTAATGTTTCGGAAATAATGTGTTTGCATTACTCTCCATTTGCTCTATCGATTAACATGAATGAAAACACCAAATTTGTATTATTCAAATGATTGTAAACATTTCATAAATTATTACTCCTGGTTTAAAAATAACATTTGAATAAATGATCGTTTCATCGATGCTTTGTACTTTTTTGATGCTACAAAATTAAGATCACCCTCAACAAACTACATACACCATCTCGACCTGGTGGTCCACAATCAATCACGAAATATCAACGTAAACAAAAACAAACTATCGGTATCGAATCAACTTTTTGTTATTTTTTGCAATAAAATGATCAAAATTAACAACAATTAAATTATTGAATATAACTTTCAGACGGTATAAACGAAAAAGAAACACACATCATAAGAGGGTTGGCTTAAGCTTTGCATTGATGATTTCATCAGTGACGTCCACAAAGTTTTCTTCACTTTTTCGAAAAAACTTCATTTTATTTCAGTATGATTTATTAATGTTTGTTATTTCACGTGCTTCACAACTATTGCCCACTCCTAATTAGCGTTGAAAGAATTCGTTCCCGGTTGGACGTGCAGGTCCGTCTTAAATATTCAACACGCGCGCACAAATTTCATCAATAAAATATTAGGCGCCGTGTTTATTTTTATGCGAATCTAATTTTAAAAAGAGACTTGAAAATTTTTTAGAGAAATAAAATTTATTGATTTTAATGAATTGTAAAAATTTATTGGTTTTAATGATTTATAAAAAATTTATTGATTTTAATGATTTATAAAAAATTTATTGATTTTAATGATTTATAAAAAAAAATTATTGATTTTAATGATTTATAAAAAAAAATTTATTGATTTTTATGATTAATAAAAAAAATTATTGATTTTAATGATTTATAAAATACCTGAAATGTAATTTTGAGAGTGGCGGCAGATTATTTTAATCCGCATTCAATTCGCAGAAGATCAGCTCCGAGGAGTTCAACTTCTTAAAATTTCATTTCTTAACGATCTGCTAACACTCTATCTCTTCACTTTAAGATTTTACTCTAAGTTTTTTGTGTGTATTTGTTTTTTTTCCAATTTCTAATTAATAATAAATAAACTTGACATTAACGTAGATACGTTTAGTTAGAAATTTTTAAACACCAGTCGCGCATAGGCGTTCTTACCACAACCAAGATGTAAACAGTTACAAGAATGCACACACGCGCACAATAGAGAGCACACAAACGCAGACACACACACACATTAGCACGCACGCACACACCAGCACACACACACATTAGCACACACACACCAGCAAACTCAAATAGACAAAACTCGCACCTGTACAATTTAAAGTTAAAAAAAGATTTTTAATTTATTTCTGGTCCATTAATAAAAAATATGGAAACAAAAAAAACGAGCTATAATAATAGTTTTGTTTGCCCGGATGAGAATGGATAATGTGGATTGGATGGGTCACACGGGCACGATGCAAAATGAAATTTCAAACGCTTGCCTCCAACTTGCAATTAAATGCGCCGGAAGTGACGTGGGAGGTGGAAGGAGGTGTCGCTGGTTGTCATTGGTGTGATTGGTTGGTTGATAGGCGGTTTAATTGGTTATTTGGGTGTTTGATTGGTTGGTTGATTGGTTGTTTGGTTAGTTGTTTAGCTGCTTGATTGTTTGGTTGGTAATTTGAATGTTTTTATTTTGGTTGGTAGTATGATTATTTTAGTTTATAGGACAGTTGAATTGTAACATCATGTGTTTAAAAGTGATTAAATACGAGTCTATTGAATCTTCTTCAACCAGACATCATCAACATCTCCGTTATTATTGCTGCAAAAACATTGTCATGTTATGTGCAATCATCATCTTTATCATCATTGTCATTAGTATTTTTTAGTTTTAATCAAGCTGTAAGCTGCCACAACACGTATCTGCAAAAATTACATCATCATCATCATCGTGTTTATCATCATCATCATCACAATAAATGTAATTATGATCATTATCAGGATGAGTTAGTAACGGATCCTTTGGTGTCGAAATGGAAGGTGGTCTAATTGAAAGTTCGGATCAGTCAGTCGGTTGTTTGGTCGTCCTCTGATGTCTGCATGTCATGCAAGCAGGCAATTTCCACGTGCCATTAAAATAAGCATTTCATATCTTTTTACTTGTTTGTGTTTGTTTGTTTATATATGTTTATGTGGGTGTGAGTACGTATATATGTATGTATGTATGTATGTTTGATTGTTTGCTTGCTTGCTTGTATGATTGTTCGTGTAGTTTTGTTAATCGGTGTTTGAGTATGTTTCTTTGTTGGTTTTTATTGCTCTGATCGTTTGTTTTTATGATTCTTATTCATATAGCTTGAGTTTGAAAATGTATAGGCCGGTGAATAAAATTTTGGTAAGTTTTTATACAAAGAGTTGTTGACAAATTGTTTCCTTCGTTGGAAAATTATTCAACAAATTTTATTTATATATATATATATATATATATATATGTACAAATATATATATATATATATATATATATATATACACACATATATATACTTATATTTACACCACACATATATTATATATATATATATATATATATATATATATAATGCGGCCAAACTGACATTATTTGTGCATATTAAACGCATCCACCACCATCGATTAATTATTAGCTAAGCAAATGAAGCATTGCAGGTAGAGTAGAGATAAGCACAAAGCTGACCTGGAGCACTTTATTTATTTGTCAGTTGTTTTTCAATTGATGAGCGGCTTAACGTTCCATTACAACCAATCATAATAACCGTTTCTTCTGTTAATATTTTATCTTCCAATCAACGTGATTGATACCTTACTTAGTTGCTGTTCGATTTGTGCTTAGATGTTTACGTTCGTTTGTCATCTCGTTCGTTTAAACTTAAAAATGAATCGAAATAGAAACACTCGCCATTATAAAATTGCACAAAGCATATAAACTTCAACTGTTACAAATTTTGGTATTAACATTTTTTTTCATTATTATTCGGAACTAGCAACTGAACGCCAACGCCAAGCTTATTTGGAAGAAAATAACTAGCGCCAAGCGTATTGGGAAGGTGGTGTTGAGTGCCAAGCATATTTATAACAGGAAAGCATGGAAGAGCAGGAAGCTGCACACGGTTGGCGTGCAGGGGAAAAAAATTCATCATCGTTCTTGCGAATTTGACTTAAAAACTGCTCCTGATATTACGGTTGAAATAAACGGAATTAACCAAATAACAAATTAGATTTTTTTTTAATAATGACTTTTGCAATTTTGCATCTTCTAGTGAATTCATAATTTTATGTTTTAAATAGCAACAAAAAAATGTTCACCACTCAAAGAAATCAGTTGAAGCAGCTCGTTAAACTGCAGAGGATTTTGACAGACAAGCCTCTCCTCGTTCTCGCTTTGAGTGGCTCTCCTTTAAAAATACGCGCCATTCATTTCATCTTTTTCGCTTTCTTCGTTTATTTCAACGTTTCCATTTCTTTCCTGTTTTATCCTCATGTAACAACATGTGTCGATGTATTCATGCGCTGCAGAAGGCACGATAATTTCTAGAGGTAAGTACTAAATTGCTGAGTAACGATGCATTATTTATTTATTTATTCGCCGTTCGTTTTCCACGTAGTCTCAAGATGCAACACCGCAAGTTGAATATTTACGTTGCGAGTTTTTTTGTACGTTGCACAGTTATACGCAAAGTGTTTTGTGCTTGAAACATTGCGCAATATTCCATTCAAGTTCCTCCCATCTGCCCTTCCCACACAAATCCAACCCTCCAAAGCACCTACTCGTGCAAACACACTCACTGAGACTTCCACCAACAACGCACACACACGCACCACACACGCACGCACCACACATACACACGCACACTCACATAGGCACATAGACAGACAGTTGAACGTACACACGCAAACTTCCCGCAACTGACAGAGCAGGCTGGCTGGTTGATACTTTAGTGATTATTATATACACATTGATACCCCGGTGGGCTATTAACATTAACGTGTTGTTTTGTGGCCACATGCACTATTGATGTTGTTCTTGAGGTACGTGTCACCGCTGATGTTGGTGTTTGTTGATGTTGATGTTGTTGTTGTTGATGTTTGTTGGTGTTGTTGTTGTGTATGGTTACTGGTTAGTGTTGTTATTAACATTGCTGTTGGAGCTGATACTGAAGGTAAAAAGGTAAATGATAGATATGTTATTAGACAGTTTGGATTTGCATATGTAAAGGTAAACGTACTAATACGAATGAATGTTTCAAGTTTAATCTACGTTAACAAGATTATTTTGTTTCAGTTTCATTCGAAATTGTTTAATAACTTATTGCAAATTAATAATAATTAATATTTGAAATTAAAAATAATTGTAATTATTAAAATAAAACTATCTAATCTTTATAGAACCAACGACATAAATTTGTTTTATGAAATTTAACTTGGTGGACGTGAAGAATGTTCGTCTTCATTCAACTGAAGTATAATTGATGACGTAGCCGTGTGTGTGGAGAGGAAGGTTTAAAGGCACGCGATGTCATCTCGTCAGAAGCGAGTCAAAAAATTATGAAGCGTTCATTTGTTTGGGTCAGTTGTGTTCATCTTGAATAATGTTTCACTTGGTTGTTTCACGTGCTGGGACCTGCTTGACATCAAACATTATTCTACAACCTTTTTCTACATCCGGTTGTCCGGTTGAACATGCTCCTACCTTCAGAATAACAGGCTTTGTTTGTATTTTGATGGCTTTTATTTCAAATTAACTCATTAATTTTTCTATTAGGTATGTTTAATCAATTTTGCACTTTTTTAATGTTTTTTATAAGTATATTTTGAATTTTTATCATAAAATTAGCCAAAAGTACTAGAATGAATATACAATAATTTTTTATTCAAGATATTTATTTATTTAAGTTTATTGAAATTTTGGTTTAAGTTTTTAAGTTGTAACAGAAATGATACATGCATTACTAACATTTTTACTACATTTTAACAACCAAGTATTCTGATCTAGATTTTTCAACATAATTTATAATACTTGATGCATCGAAATTCTTGTGATACTTACGATGTAGAATCAGTGGCGGACCTGAACAAATTTAATGGAGTACCAAAATTTTTAAAACTTTTAAATTTTGAAATTTTTGAAAAAGTTTGACAGGGGTGCAAGATTTGTGGTAGTGTGGCCAAAATTAGGCTGGCAACTTTTTTTTATGAACGATTTTCTGCGTAAAAATTTTCTGGTCAAAAACGGAGTTTTACTAACTTTTTAATAACACTTCTGCTTAGATTCGCCACTGCGTAGAATTAATTTTCTATAATTAATTTTTTATAATTAATTTTTAATTTTTCAAATTTTAAAAGTAACAAACAGTAAGACTAAAGTAATTATTTATGTCCATTGATTACCAATGAGCAAAACAAATATGAAACATTTCCAGGTTAGCCTACCCAGCCAACCAGCCATCCAGCAAATGCTGTCTTCTTTTGTTTCTACTATCAGTCTTATTATTTTTGAAAATTCATCAATTACATTGTTATTCTAAACAACGAGTTTTATTTTGAAAAATTTATTCGTAATCAACCACTGACGAAGTTTCTGTTTCAATTTCAATTATGCCACAACATGCCATATCCACAGAAAATAACATTGAAGTACTATCCATAGTTGAAAGAACTGCGAACTGTGATTAATGATTGAAATAAATGAAAAGATATCCACTCAACACACACACATCGTTCCATTTATTTTCTAAATAAATAAATATATATTATTAAATAAATAAATTAAATAATTTATCTTTAATTGAAATAAAAATTTTTGATTTTATGTTTTTGAAGCGAAACTCTGTAATATTGGTTGATTGTATCCTTAAAATTATTTCATGAAAAATGTCGAAATTTAAATAACATACTCTTCTATCTCTTCACCACACCATCATCGAAATTATCACCAACATCATCATCATTATCGTTATCATCATCATCACATCATCACACCACCACCACCATCATCGCCATCATCATAATTATCACCACATCATCACCATCATCATCATCATAATTGTCACCATCATCACAAACACCGTCGTATCGCAATGATCGTTATCACATAATCTCGCCGAATTAACCCCTCACTTCGGATTGCACCTGACATAACAGCAACAAAACGGATAGATGGAAGCACGTCGACAAAGGATTCGTAGGAAAGGCATGCAGTTGTTGTTCGAATGATTAGCAAATAATGGAGTAAGTAGTTGATATCGATCTACAACAATGCTTATTCGCAAGCATTCATTCCTGCCTCCTGCATTACTCTGTGTTTGCCTAATTTATTCCCACTACACGCACGCACGCACACACACACGCGCGCGCGCGCACACACGCGCACACGTAACATATTACGAAATGATAATTACATATGAAGCCCTTTTATGATTCTTCTTTTTGCATTGCATACACATACAGCATCATGATATATTTACTTGCATGTTAATAGAGGAATTATTGAAAATATTTGAGATTTTAAATGTACATATAAATTTTAAACTTTTTGTATTTTTACTATTATATGCTTCATGCGATTTTTGTATTAGTGGTTCATATTAATACTTGTGGTGTAATAAAAAAAGAATACTCTTCGGATTAAAAAAAAAATTCAAAATACAACGTGTCAATACAGCCTTTTAATGGCTGTTTGTGATTCTTTCTGTGGCTGTTCGTTGGTCGAGTTCTTGAGATCATAATTGCAACACGAAAACCTATATCCGCAACAACAACAACAACCACAACAATATTAATAACATTACTAACAATGTACAAAACAGTAGTAGAAACATGTTTTTTTTTTCAAATTAGAAAAAATGTGAGAAGCTTTAATGCAGTAATAACACGTTTAAACATATTTTTCTAGCAATCAAGAGAAAGATTGCAAGAGTGCAAGCACTTTTTAACAGCATCAACGAAAAAGTTTTTTACAAATCCACGAGGAACTAAATTTTTGGTTTCGCTCTTGTTTTTTTACAATTTTCAATTTGCGCAGAGCGTATCACATTAAATTTTATATCATTGATTAATGCGAATCTTCCGCAGCCATATTCCCCGACAACATCAGAGAGACATTTAATTAACTTCGGATGAACTAGTTTACATTTAAATTACATCGAAGCATACTTTTCTTACATTGGTTTGGTTTGGTTTGGTGAAGAAAAATTATCATACATTATCACATGCTACACTGTCAAATGTTACTATTTAATTAAATTATAAACGATATATATGTATTTACGTAACCTATTTACAGAGAATTTTTAGCGCTGCCACTTTAAAAATGTGGATTGACAACAGAAACCATCCATACATTTTTCTGAAACATATAATAGACAATTATGCACAATCGGTGTCTGAAAATTTTTGTAAAGGAAATGTTACGACTTTAAAAAAATTTTAAATTAAGTAATTAATATTTGTTAAAAATAATTTCAATGTATTGATAAATCAAAATAACAATAACAATTAATAAAAAGGATAGAGTTAAAGTATGAGAGGCCGGAGAAAAAATATTTTGAAAGAACATATGAATGAACAATTTTTTAATTACGTATGACATAACATAACAATATTATAAACGCAACATACATAGACATGTTCAGTGGTCCACTGTGTTATAGATTTTGGTTGGCCCACTTTAGAATTTAAATTCATACTTTTTCCATCTGTGTTACAAAGTTGTTCGTATCAGTAGATAAAATTTCCATTCCATTCTCTAAGTTCCATTCTCTTACAATTCTATTACTGTAAAACAACTATTTAGATGTCTTACTAAACATTTTGTCTCTCTGTCCTCTTGCTTTGGTTGGTTCCAAGTCCTAACTTCAATTTTAAAGAATCTTGTTGGCTTCCGCTTCCTGCCATCTCTCTTAAATAATCTTATATTTTTTGTACCTAACATAAATAATTAGTGATGGCTGGTATTTAAGAAGTTTATTAATTTAATTGATGAAAATAAAAATAAAACAATTTTTTATATTTTTTTTATTTGTTGATTTATTCAATCAATTCTCAAACGAGCAAACGAAACAAGAGTTACGAGTTATTGTCCGGAATAAAAAAAAACCGCTAATCCAGCAAAGCGAAGAGCATAAATATCGCCGAGCACATAAATCCGTACTAGTGAGAAGCATTTAAGCTACAAATGGTGTCCATGTACACACACAGATTAAATAGAGATAAACACGCCAGCCTCTTCCCGGCTGTTATGTACTTCCACACAACCACAACTTTTCAAATTAACAGACAAGAATGCTCACATGAACGTATCAACTCTAATTGGAAAGTTTTTGAATAAATAGAATTGTCATATTGATTCATTTAAAAATCAAAATATAATTTTGAGTTTAATTGATATAAAAAAACTCAGTAAGATAAATTTAAAACTGCATTTTATTTCAGAATTGAATAATCTTTCAAAACTGCTTGAAAAACGAATGTAAAAGTTATAACTAGACAGAGCCAATTTCATAGCAGCAAGTAGCGCTTGTACAATTTCAATATAGAAGCCGATGCACGGTCTTCACGTTTCAACACAACACATTACCAGAAATGAACGGTTGTAAAACACAAAAGAATCACATATACTCTGCTATGAAGTTACTTCAACCTGGAACAAAACGATTTGTTGTTATGGAATGTAACGATATATAATTTAAAAAGTCTTAGGACGGTGAAACAAAGAATGAACTGCTGAAACTCATCAATCAAGTTTGAAAGACGTAACAAATTGAAGTCTCAAAAGCCAGCAATAGAAGCATTATTGATTGAAGTTGACCCGCTACTGAAGATAACCCCATTATATAATGCCTGCCGCTGCCACGTTGGCTGCTACTGCAACACATTACAGCCATTACCCGATAGCAAAAATTCTTGTGTTTTATTTCAGTGACCACTCTTGCTTTATGTTCTGTTGTCTTGCGTTTGCTTCTTATGTGGTAACGACCACTGCTGATTTGTTATAATGTGCTGCACTGGATTGTGGTGTGGTCTGGTGTGGCTTGAGGCGCATGCGCTAGCCTCTTTATTCTCTTTATTCTCTTTATTCTCTCATCATCATCACAACTATCATTATCAACAAACAAAACTATCATTAAAACCATCGCCATCGTCTTTATCATCACTTAATCATCAATACAACTATCATCACTTAATCATCAATACAACTATCATCACTTAATCATCAATACAACTATCATCACTTAATCATCAATACAACTATCATCACTTAATCATCAATACAACTATCATCACTTAATCATCAATACAACTATCATCACTTAATCATCAATACAACTATCATCACTTAATCATCAATACAACTATCATCACTTAATCATCAATACAACTATCATCACTTAATCATCAATACAACTATCATCACTTAATCATCAATACAACTATCATCACTTAATCATCAATACAACTATCATCACTTAATCATCAATACAACTATCATCGCCACCATCATCGTCGTCATCATCATCAGCTCATCACCAACAATAACAACACCATCTTAATAATTAGCACTATTATCCAGCCTCTTGGTTGACGACAATGATTGATTTGCAAACAGACATTTACATTGTAGTCCTTTCTCAACGTACCTTTTAAGAAATAAATTCAACATCAACATCTTCATTATCATCATTTACTCATCGCATTATTATCATAGTTCTACATCTTTCTGCAATTATTTTAACATCACAACGTCACATTACGTCACATGTTACGTTATTACATCAGTACCCTACTCGTCATCATCACATAATAATGGCTGTTTTTTTTAGTTGTTTTATTCGTTTATGCGTTCGTTTTAGTCTATGTTGTTGTTAGATTATGATGTTTGGATTTGTTTATATGTCTGTGTTAGTCTATGTTGTTGTTAGATTATGATGTTTGGATTTGTTTATGCGTTTGTTTATGTTGTTGGGTCCGTTTGTGCTGTTTTGTTTTGTTGTCATGTTAGTTTTGTTGTTGTTGTTGTGCCTGTTTAGTTGTTTCTTCTGCAGTCAGATGCTTGCTTGAGGCTTCTGTGACGGCAACTACATTGGAAGATTATAACGACATGATGCGCCAGTTAATGAAGCAAAAATCGGTGATGATGATGGTGACGATGATGATGATAATGGCGATCATAACGATGATGGTTACAATAGTGATGCGGAAGATGATGAGGTTGATGATGATGATGATACTGGTAAGGATGGTTATGATAAATAGGATTAGCTATGATGGTGATGTGGAAGAGGATGAGCGGGTTGATGATGGTGACGATGATGATGGTTAGGATGGTGGTGATACTTGCAAATATTTCTGCAGTGAATACAAAAATGTGACAAAGACAATAGCAAAGACAACAGATCAAAAAGAAAATGACATCATATCCGGCTGGTTGGTGGGATAGCCTGGACTGAAAGAGATGACCATGTAATTCTTAGTTTGATTATTTTCTTAATTTCAAAATAACTAAGATAATTGCATGTAAATAAATTAAGAACAAATAAAATAATGTAAACATTTGAGTTAACTGCCATAAAATGAAATGAGCCTTCTCAAATATTTGTTCTTCTGCCTCCTGTCTGCAAGCGCTCAAAATTCATTATCGTTTGAAGGATA